TAGAACTATGATGCGTTGCTCAGAGATGAGCAGCGCTTCACTCTCCAACCCTGATGAATCGTTATTACTACACCTGCGTACCTGAAACATCAAGCGCCACCCAGGTACAGCCTCCGAAGGTAAGCGCCACCCAGAGACAGGCCTTTGAGGCCAAGCGCCACTCAGAGGATGAAGAAGTAGACCAGCGCCACAATATCTAATGATGACGAAGTGTTGGAAGACTTCCCGGTTGGAAGTCTGCAGCAGCGCCATCAAATCTTGCCAAGATGACCTCTGAGGAGGAAGCTGCAGCTATGGCTGCAGCACCCCAACCCTGTGACCCCACTCCGGAAGAAGGTCCAGCAGGGCACCAACTTCTCTCGCCTCTAGCAGACCTCTATATCACAGACCTTTACAGCCCCGCGTGCTGGCAGAGTACAGCGCAGGCTCCAGCTATGGCCGGTGCTCCGAAGGTCTGGCTATTTCTGTGTTGCATACCGTAAAGGTGTAGACCAGAACAAAACCGACCTCTCTCACAAAGTACAAGATAGCATAGCGGATGACTTAGATACCAATGATGCGAACTGTCAATGGTGCAATGCAGCCCCAAACATACATCATCATCATTCCATGGTGTGAAGCGGCCTGGCGCTCACACAGGAAGAATGCGCCAGTCCCCAACCATGCATAGACGAAGAAGAGGGGGTTTAGACGAAGAAGAGCGGAAGATGAAAATGTCGTCAACACCAAGTCTACGACACAGGCCCCAAATAATCCCTCATCAAATGTCTTAATCCCAATGTCGAGTCTGGATCCAATGTCGTCAAGTCCCAAAGTCACAACTCTCTCTCTCTCTCTCTCGTAGTCCGCAGATACTGAAAAGTCAGGTAGCGAGAGGGTGAAGAAGAGATGGTGGACTGAGAAGAGGAAGAAGAACTCTCTCTCTCTCTCTCTCTCTCTCTCTCTCTCTCTCTCTCTCTCTCTCTCTCTCTCTCTGTCCGGTACTAACCTGTGAAGCCCGCCATCTCTCTCCAACACTACTACTACTACTACTACTACTAGCGCCCTGCGCTGAAGACGACTCCTGCAGCTACTAGCGCCCAACGCTGAAGACTACTTCTGCAACGCTTCTCCAGAGTGCTGCTGCCGAATCCTGAAGACTGCCTCTTGCCTTCTGTCCAACTGCCCTGCCTGTAGGGCGGGTCAGTCTTTTATAGTGCTGGCCCGTCCAGGAGGCTGCTCTTGCCAAAGCCCAAACGTGCTAGACCCTGAGGAAGCTTCCGGGAAGTTTCCAGGTAGCTTCTGGCTAAAGCCTGAGGGTCTATAGGCCCTTGTTTTTCGGCTGTCAGGCTGAAACGACATGGGGCCTGTAGGCCCTGGTTTTCAGGCTGTCAGGCTGAAACATGATTTGAATGTAACCTTGTACTGTCGAGGCTTGCTGACGTACTTGCGATCGGTGATGACGCGGTCAACTTCCAGATGACCATCCATAGGAGGGGGGTCCTGCGATCGTCGGCCCGGGAAGTCGTCGCTCTTAGCTGGTGTGTATGTCGCCAGCTTCGAGGCGTGAAAGACTGGATGGACTGTAAGATGCGGGGGGATGTTGATCCCAAATGAAGGGCCATTGGAATCATCGCCCGCGGCTGATGTTACGGGCCATGGTCCAAACCACTTGGGAAGCAGTTTGCGTGAAACATCTTGTTCCAGTGCAAACTCTTCCGCGGAGACCCAAACCAGATCACCGGCGCGAATAGGACATGGCCTGCGACGCCTGTTGGCTTGCTGCTNAACATCTTGTTCCAGTGCAAACTCTTCCGCGGAGACCCAAACCAGATCACCGGCGCGAATAGGACATGGCCTGCGACGCCTGTTGGCTTGCTGCTGCATGCAGACTTGAGCCTTTTGCATGTTTGCACGGGCTTGAGCCAACACTTCCCTGTACTTCCGGACGAAAGCGAGAGTGCAAGCGGCGTCGATGTCGGCTGGTCGTGGGAGGAGAAGGTCGGCGAAGATACGGCCTTTCCGTCCACCGTGGTGCAACTCGAATGGAGTCACGCCGTTCGCCGGGTGCACCGAAGTGTTGTAGGCGAACTTGATGTCGGGGAGGCGGTCAAACCAATCTTTCTTGTCTGGACGGATGAGTGTACGAAGCATCATTTGAGCGGTTTGATGTGTCCGCTCCGTTTGCCCGTCCGTCTGTGGATGTCGAGCCGAACTTGGTTTCATCTTCGTGTCGGACTCCTGCATGAGAGCAGTCCAAAATGCCGACATGAAGCGAGTGTCGCGGTCGCTGACTATGTCTTCCGGTACACCGTGGCCGCAAATCGAGCCGGTGTGCAAGAGGCGTGCTAGCTCGGGAGCCGTGGAGTAGTACTTGCAAGGGAGAAAACGCGTGTACTTACTCAATCGGTCCACGACCGTGAGGATGCCGTCGTGCCCGAGGCGATCACGGGGAAATGGTCCGGTGACACCCATGGCAATGGAGAGGTCGGGTTCCCGTGGGATAGGCATCGGGTGCAACTCGTCGTAGGGGTTGCGATTGCGGGGCTTGCTTCGTCGGCAAACTTCGCAAGAGTTGCAATACCGAGTGACATCGGTAATGAGGTCGGGCCATTGGAATCATTGTCGAAGCTGTGCAATAGTGCGGTTGACATCGAAATGGCCGGCGAGTCGCGAGTCATGGTACTCCCCGAGAAGGTGAGTCCGAAGACGACGGTCTCGTGGGACACACAATAAGTCCTTGCCTCTCGAGTGGAGGAGCAAGTACCCGTCGGCAATGCGATAGTGGCTGGCCGGCGGGTGATCCGAAGAGAGTTGTGCATACAACGTGGCGAAGTCCGGATCAGACTCATAGCTCCGGATCAAGTGTCGCTGGAGTTCCTCGTCAAATGCGAAAGCATGATGTGTTATAGCGCAAAGATCAGGTCTTCGCGAGAGTGCATCTGTTGCGCGATTGGAGAGGCCGGGGAGATGTTTCAGTGTGAAGTCAAATTGGTCGATGAAGTACATCCATCGTCCGATCGTGCTGCTCACCGTATCCTGCGTCTTGTAGTAGGTCAATGGGTTGTTGTCCGTGACCCATGTGAACCTACGACGCCCAAGTAGGAAGTGCCGCCATCGCTTGAGAGCCATCACGAACGCGAGCAGCTCCTTCTTCCTTGCATCATCAAGTGAATTGATGGGAGGCACTTTGTGGCTGAAATACTTCACAGGGTGCCAATCGTCGTCGTCGTGTTGTTCCAAGACTGCCCCAATGCCATAGCCGGAAGAGTCGATTGTCACTCTTGTTGGCAGGGTGGGGTCGTAGATGCTAAGGACGGGTGCCATGAGCATGGCCGTCTTGAGTGCTTGGAATGACCGGCGTGTGTCATCATTGAACACGAATGGCACCTTTGGCGATTGTAATCTCGTCATAGGTGCAGCAATCCTTGAGTACCCGGTGATGAATCGCAGATAGTAGCCCGCCAACCCCATGAATGAACGGACGTCCGTGGTGTTGGTGGGCTCGGGCCATACGCGGAGGGCCTCGATCTTGTCCGCAAGCGGACGGATGCCTTGCGGCGTCACATAGTGTCCCAAGTACTCCAGCTCCTGCCGCGCGAATTCACATTTGTTGTGGTTGGCTTTGTACTTGGCTTGTCGTAGCCGCTCCAAAACGGTGCGCATGTGCTCCACATGCTCGTCCAAACTCCGACTGTACACCAAAATATCATCGAGGTAGATTAGTACGAATCGATCCAGCATGTGTCGGAACTCTGTTGTCATAGCCGCTTGGAAAGTGGCTGGGGCATTCGTAAGGCCAAACGGCATAACCAGCCATTCGAAATGCCCATATCGCGTCGTAAACGCAGTCTTGTAGCGGTCCTCCTGCCGGATCTCGAGTTGGTGATACCCATATAAGGTCTAGCTTGGAGAAGAACTTGGCGCCGCCGAGCCGTTTGAGGAGGTCGTCGATGCGTGGAAGAGGGTCGGCGTTCTTGACCGTTTGCGCGTTGAGCTTGCGATAATCGATGCACAACCGCAGATCCTTGTTCTTCTTCCGGACGAAGAGAACGGGAGCACCGTATGGCGAGGAGCTAGGCCGAATCCAACCTTTCTCAAGAAGGTCGTCGAGTTGTGCCCATAGCACACTTAGTTCTTCCTCGCTCATTCGGTAGATGCAACCATGCGGAGGTACAACCCCGTCCTCGAGGATGATCTCGTGGTGGATGGGCCAATCCGGTACTACTCTGTGCAGGCCTTCGAACACGTCGCCGTAGGCGTCGAGAAGCTCGGTGATGCGTGGGTCCGAAGATGAGTCCGTCTATGAAGCGTCATGGGGCGGGAGGGCGTGGAGAAAACACACCCCCATGATGGAAGCTCGCATATTTGCGGCGGACACCACGTGGCAGCTGATCGAAGGGTGAGGAGAAGGCACTGTGCATGGGATTAGTACTCTGTTCCGATCACGAATGTGAGCTGTGCGGCGGTAGAAGTTCACCGGGTGATCCTCGCTTCGCAGCCATGACATGCCCAAGATCATGTCGAATTTGGTGTCCAAAATATCAGAGGACACCGCCTCGCTTGCATGCGGGGCAAAGTACACGGGGACGTTATCTATGCACCGGTCGATTGACTTGTGCTTGTGACCGTCTGCGAACGTGACTTGCGTAGGCTGGGACTTCCTCCGGACGTGCATACCATAAAGTACTGGCTCATGTAGTTGCGAGATGCTCCGCAATCGATCAAAGCGCTGTAGGTCGTATAACAATGGTGCGTCGATGTCGTCGTACCATTGTGTCCTGAACTCGCGGTCGATCTTCGCAATGTAATTGGGAAGGTCGACAACCTCTACTCCGACGTCCATCAACGGAGTTGGTACTGTAGTGTGCAAGTAATCCCGCAATTGTGCCATGAGCACGTTGCAATGCGGTTTCGACAATCGACCGGACCGGGGAAGGGGCATCCATTGGAAGTCCGCAAATGTCAACGGGTCGAGCTCTTCAAGTCTTGACCATGTCGTCGAATCCTCGACTATAGATGGCGGCGAAGCTGCCGACTCGGTTGCCGATGGTAGTGAAACCGTGCATGCGGTGGATTGTTGCACGTGGAGTGGTTGGTCCAACGGTGGGACCAAGTGGACATCATAGTCCTCGTAAGTGTACCGAGAACTTGCGACATTCGCATCCTCCCCAGATGTGTAGGAGGCCGCTAGCAAGGCCGTCGAATCTGGCGGAGTGAGAGGTGGAGTCGCCTCACCTCCCGAGCAACTCAGTTTCCCGAGTTGATGCGAGGCCGAACATCCTCCTTGCCTTGATCTGGGCATTGGGAGGTCTTGTGCTTGGCGCTGTGACCCATGGTGCTGGCTGTCCGTTTCCGGCTGGCTATGCGGTTTTCGCCTTCCCGTTTCCTCGGGACTTGTTGTTGCTTCGCGGCTGGACAACAGCCACTTGATCTCCCTCACGTGATGCTTGGGTGTCTGCCGGGTCTTCCACAATGTTGTCCGGTTGGACTGCAGCGACATGTTGTGGACGCGGACCAGATGCTGATTTCTCGTGTGTAGCTGCCCTGTCGGTCTTGATGATCTCCCTTGCCATGTCGATGATTTCGGCGAAGGTTGTGTATTGCTCGCGATCACCAAGTGCGAGGCTCAAGGCGGCACATGACCGGTTGTAGAACTCCCGGCGCAGATGCGAAAATGGCAAGTCAAGATTGGGCGTTGCCGCGATCTTTTGCCATCGATGTGTTGCCTTGGGTCATAGCGAAGAGGCGATTGATGGCGAGCGTCGGGGCGTCGTCAACGATGAACCGCTTCTTCCATAGCTTTATCAACTCTTTCCAAGAGATCTTCGCATGAAGATCGGCGACCCGGACGCCGTGAATGGATGCCAGGTGGCTGAGCCAAATCTGGCAACCTCCCTTTCAATTGAGGAACAGCGCGCCGATGTACGAGTGCTCGGGCACAAAAAGAATCCAAAGTTCCGTCGTAAAGCTCTCCCACCAGGGGACTGGGTCTTGATGCGTATAGTCATTAAACTTTTCAATGCGGAATGTCGACATCTTGTAGTGCTGCACACTTGTCTTGCCATTGCTGTTGGGCAGTTGGTGCAGTTGCTGAACCTCGATCTTCAAGGTGTCCAACTGCTTGCTGATGGTCGCCGGTGCAGCGAAGGTGCTGATGTCGTCGAGCATTGCGACTACGTGGTCAACTCGTTCCTCCAACTGGCGGGTAGAGGGTGCACTGCTGGTCTCGCCAGCATTCGGTCTTGGTGCAACTTGCTCCAAGTCCTGTACACAGGAATTAAGTGCCCGTGTAGCATCCTCGTGCAGATCCTTGTGGTTCTGCATTGCCCGTCGGAGACTCACCACTTCCTGGTGCTGTTTAGCCAGCTCCTGGTGTAGTTTCTCTAATTCGGACTGTTGGTGGTTACAAGTATACACCAATCGTGTCACGAGTTTGGAGAAAAACTCCTTGTGCTGCTCTTCCGGTGTTGAGTCGTCGTGGCCCTCGGATGGTTCGAAGATCCAGAACTTGAGCTTGTCGATGTTAGTGGCTTCGTGCCGCTGCAGCAGCTTTTGGGCCTTCTTGCGGAGTGCCTGGGCGTCTGCTTCAGCTTCGGCCTGAAACCGCTGCTTTTCAGCTGCTGCCGCCTGGCGGTGTACCTCAGCCTCGATTGCTGCCAGCTAAGCTAGAACCCGCTGATGGTACTCGTCAATGGACTCGTTGGCCAGTTGGCCCGGCATGCCCAAAGCTGGAACCATCATGGTGGCGGGCCCCTGCTGACGTGGCACGACTGACGTGGCACAGCTGACGTGGCACTGTTGTCGCAGCACGCTGACGTGGCACTGTGTGCTGATGTGGCACTGCTGACGTGGCACTTACCAAACCGGGAATGCAGGCAAAGGGCTGGGTGGGAGGGAAATGCAGGGAGATAAACAGACTGCAATTTCCATTCCTGGTCCTAATCAACATAAATAAATTAAATAAATGAAATCAAAGAAGAGGATCCCCCTCCCCCTTTTTTTTTTTTTTTTTTTTGAATCTCTGTCGATCGGCTATGAGTGAGGCATTACAGAGGGGTGCTATGAGCAAGATCTAGGCAAGGTTCCGCAAAGTTTCGACTTTCACAAAAATGCAATTTTGAAAAAAAATTTGCGAAATAGAGAAGAGATGCGATTTTCAGAAAAGAACTAAATCCAGTTTCTGAGAATATGGCAACCTCTATCGTTATCCTAATATGCTTAGAAAACGAAATGCTAACATCAGAAATTTTCGGCTATGTATGCGAATGTCAAAAATTTTCAGATAAAACGAAATGCTATTATCCGGAATTTTCAGATATTGGAAATGCTAATATCAAAAGTTTTAAGATAAAACGAAATGCTATTATCCGGAATTTTCATATATTTGTTGCGAGAAAGAATTTTTTTTTTCCAGAGATTTGACGAAGTTGCAAGGAAGATGAGCAAGAGCGAACTTCAGCAATCAAACAACATCATACATATGAGTCCAGATAGTCTTGACCTCGAACCAACAACAAAATTGCATCACGAGATTCACCAAATAAGAACACACCAAGAGTTCATAATTGACAATGCTGAAATAGTCCCATCATCATCAACGAAGAACCAGAGT